AGTACCACCCCCACAAATCTAACAAAAAGACCCACCCTTCTATCATCGGGGTGCTTCATCATGTACTGAAGCAAATTGTTACTCCCTCACAAAAATCGCAGTCAGAGAATTCATTAAGTCTATTCACTCACCACCTACCATTTCTCACATTAAATAGAGAATATTTGTGATCTTAAGCAACTGAGTTTCCATGGCAGAGTGAAAATTTGCTATTAGAATAGGCCACCACCGCAGGCCTTTCCTTCCTTCCTCCCAACCACCCACCACCTTTACGGGAAACAGTAACAGCTCAATGGGAACAGAGGGAAACACCTCACATGCAGCAAATCAAGCTCGTGCAAGTTGCCCTACAGAAGTTCCTCCTTGGGCCAGGTGCACCCACATGACCACCACTTGGTATGTGCATGTTTGCACCCCAGCTGGTCTTCTCCTGTTACTGGGACAAACTAAACCATTCTATTTAGAGAAACGTCAGTGAAATTTGTCAAAAGACTATTTTAGAACTTAAGGGGTCTGAAAGCCAAAGCATGCTAAAATTCTCCAGAAGAGAAAATGCTGACCTACCTCTAGGTGAGGCCACCCAGCTGCCCTCCCGTGGAATGAAGCAGAAGCTGTCAAAGGATTTGGCAATTAAGAAAACAAGGCACTTAGGTGTATTCACAGTTCTGGCAACATTAAGGTTAATTTAACCTCCTCAAACTTTGTCTGCTGTGGTCAGACTATGATTTCTTCCCCTTCAGCTTGAAAGACTTGCAGCTCTCTAGATCCCCCCTCCTGCAGATGTGGAGGGATGTGAAACAACGCGCTGCGGCCACCAATGCCAAACTGTGCTGCTCTGCAGACTGGATGATAAAAAAAGGCTTGCCATGCTGACCTGAAGATACAGGGTTTACACTTTCTTGATCAAAGTGGACACCTGATTACCTTGACTCATCTAAGCTTATGTATGCCACATCTTGGCAACATTCTCGTCTCTCAAAAGGGATGACACCCAGTATTCAAGTCTCAGGATCAGGACACAACAAATCCTTCTTCTGCTATCTTGCTAATAACCTTTTTGCTAAAACAAAAGAAACCAAAACCCTTGCACAATAAACCTATTCTGCTAATTTCTTTAGCAATATATCTAAAGTCCTAAATAATTAGAAGGAAAATTAGAGGGTTTTGCACACTCATGACAGCAAATCATGCCCAGCTAATTTTCCAAATTAGTCAAGAATCCAGATCCAACCAACTTGGCTAGTAAGGGGGACTCAACCTACATTAACGAACACAAGACTTCATTAAAATGTAGTTTAGCAATATGCCAGAATAATGTATTGAAGGAGGAAAAGGACAGGACTGAAACTGCAGACTCAGTTATTTCTTGCTATTTATCACTAATAAATTCATATAAATTAAAAATCAATACAGCGGGATAGTGCAAGACAAATGCTAATGCCCACGAAGAGAGGATGTGTTAAGACCCATCATCCCTGTGTTGCCAGGCACATCACTAATTCTGCAGGACTGGAGAGGACAGGCACAAGCTGCTTTCCCCAGCAGAGGCAGAATTTGCATCAGTTTTCCCTCTGCACTCAATTTCCTATTCCCTCGTGCCAAAACCACCTTCTTCTTATGTAGATGGGACTGGTACCAACTTTGAATTTCCTGTAGTGAGGAAGCCTGTCACACAGCTACTTGAGCCATTTGCTTCTGTCATTAAGAATGGCCACAGTGTGAATGGGAACACATTTATATTTCGTCTTAAGCACCGTATCCTAGATTATTTGCAAGACCACTGATTCCAATAATCTCAGCCAGTCAAAATCCAAATCATACCAGTCTCGGGTGGAAAGCTGAAAATGAACGCAAAGGATCTGGTACGTGACATTAGCCACACACCATCTAAGGGCAGTTTTACCATTCCTCAAACTTGACCTTGGCAATGCTTGTTGAAGTTATTGTGCAAAAATCAGTATGGAAATAGTATATGAAGCTCTTGGATAAAAAAGGGTTTTCCTCACAGGTGCTTAGCATGAAGTTAAATTTTGACAAATTTATTACACAGTTGCACTTACCACAAGGAGAAGGAAGGAAAACTGGTGCCACACAGCTGAGACAGACTCCTTCCTCTATATGATCCTGCAATTTAGGTACATTTCATATAGAAAAAGCAGAAATTTCACCATCATTGCAACTCAGAAAATATTCATGAAGGTGACTTGCCAAGTATCATTTGAACTGGATTCATGCCCTTTTACTTTTTAATTGCACTAGGTAGGGAATTATCTAAAAATAAAAAATAAAATAAAAATGCATCACTTTTACTGCTTTTACTTTCAAAAATATCAATCCCCTTCCGGTTCAGAAGCACATTTCTCCTAAGCACACATATGCTTATTCTTCTATCAAAAAGGCAGCTACAAATACCTAACCTTTAAAGTATTTAACATAATTAAGCATGTTTTTAATTTAAAAAAAAAAATAAAAATCAAGTGTCTTTCCCTTGTCAGTAACTCCCCACCCATGGAATTCATCCTTAAATCCTAACTGGTTACTCCTTTAACATAGATAACTACGCTTGCATGCATATGTGGAGACAACACTCTACTGCACCTTCTTTTCAACTACTTCATAGCAACCTAAACATTTAATACATATTCCTTTAAAGAAATTTGAGTGAATTTATTGTATAAAATTATGATTGGCATGGTACAGAAAAGTTCCTTTTAATGCACATTTCCCATTAACTTGTACACAAATATTACAAGTATCAAGCAAAATGCAAAAGTCTTAAGAACTAATTCCATACTACAAAAGTATTCACATAGTGAAGTTACTCTGGTTACAAAATGTCATGGAAATAAAAGCACTTCAAAATACATATTTGGGAAATGTTCTCGAATAATCAACACAACCTTAAGTTAGTTAAAAAATGCAAAGAAAGAGATACCCTCTTCAAAACACTGTTGTTGATTTGGCAAGCTGGAGCAAAGTTCAGATCAGTTCATTTATTGAAGGATTGTTCTTTCCAAGAAAAAAAAAAAAATTAAAAAAAGCTTTAGTTAAGAAAGGGCTCAATTATACTATGATGACAAATAACGCCATCAAAAAGTTATCTGGCTCTCTTGTTTTCACACAGGAGCTGTCAGAGGCAGAGATGTGTAAATGAATACTTCCAGGTATATACAGATTGCCTTTTCAAAAACAAACCAACCTACCAAACAAAAAAACCCAGACCCCAAAACAACAAAAAGGAGACAATCTGAACTTTGTTGTTTCATTTAAATAGTTCAGTTCCCTAGGTCACAAGACCCAAGAACAGCGGTCTGCAAAGAATACGTATTTCAAGAACAAAATTGAACTTCCACTACCAAGGAATGAGTAGATGTCAAGTTATGCGAGTACCGTACATCCTCACAGTAAGGCTGTAAGAGGCTATCAAATCTCTGCTTCCCAATGACCTTCAAGACCTGCTATTCTCAACAAGACAAAAATGCTGTGACCCTACAAACAGCCTTACAAAGAGGAGGCACAGTCATATTGTTAGAAATTAACACAAAATCTTGAAGGCTGAAAGCATCTTTAAAAACTTACACAAAATAACTACAAAATCAGCAATACATTACATTATTTTTGTGTCCGATGACTTGCGTGTGTTTGAGCAATTGAACATTGGTACATATATCTACATGAAATTCACACATACAGGACATCATGTTCAGGCATTATTGTTGTTTTCCTTTTACACACACACAGGAGTTACTATCAGGTTATCCAATCTATTCAAATGCGGTGAAAAACAGTCCACAGCACGCGGAAAAGGAGCATTATCCAATACAGTGTTGTCTTGCAAAAATGGAGTCAGAATTCCTGAGTCTCAGAGACATTACTGTCCTCCTCCATTAATGGATTATTTATTTTTCCAAGGAGAACCTCTAGTTTTCATTTCTTCACTCTGATGAAATTTATAATAGATTGCGTCTTTTAAAAAATGTAAAACTTTTAGAAAAAAACATGCCAACCAAAGTGAATTTTTAAAGCTTTTTAGAGGGAGGGGGGATTCAATTACAAAATAAAGGCCACCTTCATGTAAAATTAGTACTGCCAGTATCCCATCATTCTGTTTAAAGGAGAGATTTAGCTCCCTGTTCTGGAAGCCTTATTACATGCAGTCATGCGAGTTGAGAAACTCCATCCTTTTAGCGATTAAAAATACTATAAATAGGACTAATGTGGAACAGCCCTTTGTTACAATCACCAAGGTGGCCAAGCCAACACAACAGTTAGGTCATAAAGTCTCCTTCAAACAGTCACTGCAATCTATTATAACTTCTGTATTTTCCCTTTTACTTTGCATATTACACAGTGTAACTTAAAATGTTATTTAAGAGCACTTCAGTCCCACAACGTAGGATTTAAGCTTGCGTGAATACATATGCATGGCTCTGCAACAATTTTAATGACTTACAAAAATACATTCAACCAAAACATTATATAGGGTTCTCTTATTTCAAAATCATAAATGAAGGAAAAGCCAAATGGTCCCATCATTAGCTAAATAATACACTCCAAGTTCTGAAAGCAATTCCAAAGCAAAAGCACATTCAAGAATAACATACATTGAATTGCATACTTTCTCATTCATCTTTATCAGTAATAAAATTCTACTGCATATAATTATTCAGCCTTATAAATAATGCTAAGCAGAAAAATATTTACCTCTGTGCTACTTTTCTCAGTTTATAGAAGCATTTCTCAGTTTATAGGAGCAAAGGAAAAAACCTAAAGTGCAGATTACAGGCCATGACAGGCATAATAAATGAACAAAGGTGCAGCCAAATTTGCAGTTACATCTTAAGTTACTTCACCACCTTCCTTATCTTGCTAGAAGTCACCCCGTGTGCAATTGAAGAGCTGGTTGGTTGGTTTGTGCCACAGTACAACCTGTAACCACTTGTAATATTATTTTTTTTTTAAACTAGTTGAATTGTCCATAGATATTTCTAGGCAATAGCTTAGGTTCACAAAACCTTACTTTATTAATACTTGAAATCACACAATATTGACACCTCCTCCAGAGAATGTTACTGTCCTCTTGTTGCAGTATGTGGTTGAACCACTGATGCTCGGTTGACTGTCTTTAACAAGCGATGTCTTCATTTCCATTTCACACGCTATAATAGCCGCATTCAGTTCTACTTGAGCTCGGTGAACAACATAAAACATGAGTCCTATGCTTATGACAATCTGCAAATAAAATAAAAGAATGTTGTAGGCTATATAAACTGTAAGCAGGAATACAAAGCAGCTGTTCTGAACAGAATAAAAAGTCATCGATGCAAAGACTCAGGGAGGCATCTGTTGACCCAATGCTTCCCAGGCATGACATCAGAAGGGAGATGAACTTAACCGATGAGTGGCTCTAAAACTACATGTACTAAAAACATAACTAGCATATCAGAACACAGGTATTACACAAATTGAAAAGATATTTTCTTTCCATTGACATCCACATCCTTGTTAGAAAGCAATCCCTTCACTTTCTCTTTTGGCAAAAATATTTCCACAAAGAAATGACGCGGTGTATTTCTGTAAGTCAAAAGGACTGTTTTCCACATATCAAGTGAATAGGTTGAAATTGTACTGGGCATCTGCAACTTGCAAAATGGCAGAGACAGGGGATGATGCAGATCAAAGGAAATAAAACTTCTTGTCCTTGCCCCTCTGGTGTGGAAGACAGCAGAAAGCAGCAGTGTCACTGTGCTCGGGTGTCAGGACTAAACAGGACATAATCAGAGTTTCCAAGCGACTTAATATAGTCTGTATGGGAAGAACTTGGTTTCTGGAGGACGGCTCTGGGAGGGGAAAGGATGTTGGTGGTGTGGGATTTTGTTTGTTTGTTTTAAGGAGGAAATATTGTACAAAACTAGGGTTTTAGTTCAGGTTTTTGCTCTGAATTTTATTGCTATGAGTTTTTAAACTTTCACCACAAAAATTGTCAGAAATAAACCTCGACAATTTCTGCTTAGAAATTACTCATTCAGTGACATTGGCAAGCATTGCATTCCCCGGAGGCAGCCTTTGGTTTCAATAAACACCACTTAAATTTTCAGCCGAGAACCTCCTTAAAAATAAAACCTTCAAATAAAAATCAAGCTGTCTCATAGTAAGAGTCCCTTTGAAACAAGAAAATTCCTCTGCCTTTTTAAAGAATGTTTTATGAAACTAGCTGGAATCGGCAACTTCCTTTCAAAAACACAGAAAGGTGATATTGTTTACAACAGAACCTAAAGTTTTGATCACCGGACTTCGTTATTAATTGGTAGGGCTGTGTTTTCTTTACCATTAAGGACTATCACTTAAAACATCTGTCAGCATGGCATAAAAGACGCTAGAATATCATCGAGTAAGATGAATGACAAGTATGGTCACAAGATAATTCTGTCTGGAAAGCATCTGGGCGGTCTATAGCCCAACCTGCTGCTCAGAGCAGGGCCAGCTGCAAGATCAGACCAGGTTGTTCAGGACTTTTGTCCAGTCAGGTCTTGAAAACTTCCAAGGATAGAGATTCCACCACTTCTCTGGGCAACCGGCTCCACTGCTTGACTATTCTTGTGGTGAAAAAGATGTTCTTCACTAATTCAAGTTACACATATCAAAAGCTGGTCAATATAAGAGTCAAAAAGAGACTATGGACACTAAGTTCTGAATATTTAGGAAAAAAATCCTATTCTAAAAGCTTATTTAAATTTCACTGGTTTTAGAAATATTACTACCAGTAGCCCAGCTCCCTAGATAAATAATTTTTTATATATATACACACACACACAAAACCATGAAATGTGAAGGATTTTTAGAGCTATTTACTAAATCAAAGTCCCATCCAAAGCCCAACCAGGCAAAGCACCAGGCAGATGCCTGAAAGAAAGTGGGAGAACACAAGTAATTCCTCCACTAACAGGGTCCCCTTCACTTATTCAGTCATGTCCCAAGGATTGCTGTCAAGGAGGTGAGCACTCCTATTCAAACATTCAGCCTCTCCAGCCAGCACTTACCTGAGTGAGCCACAGTTAAGTTACAACCCATATAATCTACAAAGGAGAGTCAATGTCATTAAAAAAAAAAAACATTAATGGGAAAAAATAAAAAAGACCACTAAAAGCTACTACCCTGGAAATAACATTTCACTACTAAAATGAAAGCTGATCAAGTAACCATTTATTTTCTCTTTGATCTATCGAGGCTATTTACCCCACTTTTACAAAGGCATTTTTAATACTCATAACCCTGTTCTAAGAAACCTATAAATTTTATGCTCCATTTAAGGGCACACAAGTTTCAGGCGGAGGGGGGTGGGGGGTGTAAAATGGTCCTACATTTATTTTTGTATCTCAGCATTGTTAAATATCAGCTTTATGATTGTAAAAACTGAGGAAGATAAATGACTGCAGTACCAACTGAAAGTCTGCAAACCATGGTAACTGCTGGTCACACACAGCCTGAAGTACTGACACTGTCAGAGGAGGTTTTAATATATAATCTGGTCCTGAAATACTCACGACCTCTACGTTTGTAATGGTCGCAGACTTAAGGCTTACCCCCAAAATTTATTGAAAAATTATTTCATCAGCTAAGTTGATGTAAAGGTATTGTATACTTCTCACGAATTTACTCACTTGCAAAATTAAGATATTGTGATTTAGGCATTAGCAAAATGGTATTTCTACAGCACTTTTCACCCCAAATACCTACGCAAAATTGTGAGTGTTCAGTGCTGACAGTGAACCCTGCACAGGTGCTAGGTCTACAAACCCCGAGCACACTGCTTCACAGATGGTGGCACACGGGCTTTTGTGTAGGGGTGGTTTGACAAGTCTAAAATTCAGCAGAAGATTACCACAGAGGGGAAGAGAAGCAAACTTGACAAAACTGTGGCAGAAAGAGAAAAAGAGAACACTGAGTAAGTTCTGCTTTGTGGCACGTGATGTATGAGAGAATTAAACTTTTCTAACAGAAGAAACCAAAATCAAAAGAAAACAGTAGACTGGAAACCCATTTCTCTGGGTATCTAGCAATCAATAAGCCTGTGAAAAAGAAATGTCAGCTCAGTTTTACACAATCACTGAAAATACCAATAACAGAGTTGTAAATTAAATACTTTTAAAAAGCCGCTACTTTTCAATACCAGATGCCATACTTGCTCAGCTGTCAGTCTGTAAGAGGTCAGCTGCCTCAGACTGGGGAGCTGTTATGCCAACAGGGAGCAGCTCTTAACCCCCTCAAGACATGCATTCCCTCAAACCTCCTGCAGCCCACCTCTTTGGCACAAGAGGCTGTACAACCTGAAAGACAAATCAAAAATACTGAATCTCTCTGTCTCACACACATGCCTATGGGTATGCAGTTTCCAAAGCAAAGATTCAATGACTTGGAGAGACAAAGCTACAGGAAGGAAACTTATCTACTGGCTGCAGAAGAAAAAAATCTGTCTTGAAACCCACTGGTACAGTAAATGGGCAAGAAATTAGGGGGGTATAGAAATACTCAAACGCAAGAAGATGACTGCTTCCAAAACTAATTGCTTATCCAAGCAATTATAAAGAGACTGACATTCCTGTTACCAAGGTCTATGAAAGCAATTACTTTAACTTACCTGTAAACTGAATATAAAATAGCCACTAACACTTTGTTCTGCAATCACATCCTCCATGGTGCGCAAGGTAGTGCCCAAGTATGAGTTCAGGAGCTGAGTAGGAAGCAGCCCAACTGAAGAAGCCATCAGGTAGTTGGGTAGTGACAAATCTGTAATCTGAGTAAAAGACAGTGTAAGAAACTGAGCACAGCTCCAACACAATCTATGTGCACAAACAACCAGACTGCCGCTCCCACAACCAGCCGTGCAAAATAAGGAAATAATTCTTACTTTCCTTCACTGAAACTTTCCATTGTGCATGAATCTAAGATAATACAAGAAAATAGTATGTGGCTAGTTTTCATCTGGCCTTTTTAAAGTTACTAGGTTTTGTTTCATTTCATCTTACGTTACACAACATCTCTGTGCAGAAGTCATTAACTAAGGATGCAATTACACTGTTCATTGAAGATGTTTATTTCTTCATGGTGAATGGAGCCCTACAATTTATGAGAATTTGCTTGCAGGAAGAAATTACTTTATCAAATGTGAAGGTCTAAAGCAAGGTCTATTTGCTTTGCATTTTACATGTATGGCAACTAATGAAAGAGTCATTGTTCAAAATGTCACTGTATTAAATATGATCTAGGTAAACAGCATGGCAGATACAATTTGCCTCTGCAAGGTAAGTATATAGCTCATTAAGATACATATACATCTATCAGTGATCTCTACCTATATCTATACTGATACACATGGGTATCATTAAGATTCTCTACCAAAGATACTTTACATCACACTTTAATTAGTGAACAAAATAGTACACACGGTTGTAGCTTTTGTCAGCGTCTCTGGAAAAAACTAATAACACTTCAAGGTATTTTCCTCTCTTTGCTGTGAAATTTCTGTTCTGAGTCAGTATGTGGACAGTTTACATGGGAACTAAGTACACAGTACCCACTAAATTAGTATCAGCAGCAATTGGGAAATATTAAATGCAAAAGCCCAAAAGATATTTACGTAAGCAAAATGAAAACATGAGGAAACTATGGGTTAAAAATGAGTACGAAAAGGTCAATTTTGAAACAAGCAGTCTAAGGATTTTTCCAGACAATTCAGTTGATCACATAGTGATAAAACAAGTTCTAATTAAGAACAGACCCTAACACTGGGAGCCTACACGGAAATTATTGACCTTGACAGTTTTGTACAATGTCGAAGACAAGAGAATAGCAGCAAAGTTACTCATTTCATCATGCTATTCTTAAAATAAACTTTGGTTACTATGAAAGTCACAGTGCTGAATTCTCAGAGCTCTGAGCACCATCAGTGGAAAGTTTTTGGGAGGAAGGAAGGGCAATGGAGGAGGAGAATGCAATGAAGCATAAAGATTAAGAATAATTCACTGGAACAAGATCCAATAAACCAATTCCAAATTTCACACTGCAAATTATACTTCCCACAGACTGAAATATATACCAGCACTACAAATAACACGTTTCCCTCTCTATACAAAATTAATTTAGATTTATAATGAAAAAGGACTATATAATTATGTCAAAACCTGACATTTGACCAATGCTTTGAAAAGACTTTTTTTTTTTTTTTTAAACATTATAGTAATCTGGGCCAGGTAATAAGAATGCACGACCAAAACTTCCCATATTGCCAAGGGAATGAAGGAACTGCTATTAAAAGTCTCTGAAATACTAATGCCAAGGAAAGATTTGCTAAGTAGGACACTATCATTAAATCTAATGGAACTGGGAAACTTCCCAAAGATTATTTTAACACTCCTGGGCACCTCTTTCATTTTTGTATATGTATTAAGGACATTTCGGTTGCAGAACAACACATCTGGATCTGTCCTGAAGCAATCGGACCTCCTGAGCCACGAAAGAGACTGTTCCCAAACGAAGGGGAGGCTGCCCATGGATACTCTGGACTGCAACTTCTGCTTCCAACTAATCTGAAAGCTAAGGAGGAGGGGGGGAGGGGAAATTTGCAGATGCCCCCGTAACTCCTGGTTTGCAAGGTTTAGACCTACAGCGGTATCACTTCCACTAGAAGGCACAAGAAGCAGACAGCATCCCTACCTAGAAAACCTGGGGAATTTTCAATAAAACTTAGTTTTCCGTATTGTTCCTTCTATGAACTTTACCTGTTCTATAAACCTGTGACACTGGGTTCTGTGTGGCCAAGCTGCCGAACAGAGGCTACCAGGACTCTGTTTCAAGTGAAAGCTCAAGCCAGCAAAATTAATAGTGAAATCCCAAAGCAAGCACGGACGCAATTGTGTTATGGGCCATACTGATTATCAAGAACTACCTAACTGCTCTGGTAACAAAAACATTAGCCAGAAACTCTCCCATTAAGCCTTGGACAGGCTTTTTCTGGCAGAACTTTTGTATATTCTTTGCAGCTGACACCTTTGGTTCAGTACTGTCAAAGCATAAATTCTTGTGTCAGGACTTTGTTGGGGGCTCACATGCCTTTGGGGCTTGCACCAGATTTCTCTCCCTTCAACTTAAAAATCCCCATGTTTCGGATCAAGTAGGCTTAGCAACCAAGAGCAAAGGACAATTCTGATAGTCTTTATTTTGAAAAAAGAAAAAAAAAGTAGCAAGTGAAAAAACAAAGCAAAAACAAATTTTCCAACAAGCAGAGTAAGCAGCCTGCATGTTCCTGCAAAGCAGGAAAGCAGGTACCATTTCTTCAACTCTGATTTGACCAGAGATACGTACTCAGACACTCAGATTTTTTAGTCAGATTATTTCTTCCATGTGGTATTCTTCTCAAAGACGGAAAAAAGAAATATGAATTCTGATCTAAGATACACCTGGCACTACAAATAATCAGTTTACACAAATCTCACTCCAGGGACCCACTAGTGTGAAGGAGGTGATAACCTGCATACCAGGCCTCCTTACAGACCTGCCTTCAAAACACTCAGATTTGCCAAGGGGAGAGGGCTGCTCATGGACAAACACTTCAGTAAGAGCTATCAGCCCACCCCAGCAGCCCAGGCCACCCTGGCACCACAGGAGCAACAACTAAGCAAAACCCAAAGAGGAATACAAACATGCTTTCAGTTAAGTTTCAAGGTCTTCCAGGTCCACACATTACCCCACTGCTCCTACTATCAGCGCTTTCCCAAAGAGCAGCAGAATGACCTTAAGCAGCAGGATGTTCACGTCCGACTGGCAAGAACCACGGAATTTGCGTTCATTTTCTTCTTGTGCCATTATAGATAATATGATCCCATTGCTAATCAAATGCTAAGAAGCTCTTCCTTCCTTCTGTACATTCCCCTGCAATTCAACCTCCCCAAAACCCTTAGCAGATGGTACACACCACTGAACAAGTGCTTGTGGAAACCCATTAATCCCAGCCCTGCAGATGACCCCTCTCACTTCAAGGTTATGCCTTGTCCTGGACCTCGTGTGTCCCTTCCTCCCTCACCTCTTATTTAAGTATTCTCAGTATTTCCACTTTACTTATAAATATGCCCATAGAAAACACGCATAGACCGGACTGCTGGAAAATTAAAGACGCACAGGTTTTCTTACATTCACTGTTCTTTCCTCTACAAGTACGAGCAACCCTTTCCAAATTCATTGCTGAAGTTGCTGGCACGGTGAAATGGATAGGGCACCCCAAATCCCCTTGCATTTTAAACTTAAGTAGAGCATTAGGTTTTCAAATAAGTCAGACTTCAAAGAAATGACAGCTCAGTCTGTGTAGGTAGAATTTTGTACTCTAGACGTAGCCTGAACTTGACTCACAGTGGGAAACTGCCTTGAATTCCCAGATTTTCATGCAACATTTTTATTTTTCAGTAATCTAGTAGTTCATATTAAATATTCTTGGTTAAAAATTGAACACACCGTGCTTTATTTGACTATGCTGCAAAATAATAAATACTGAGTAATAAATGCAACCCAAACTGATTTTAGCAGGCAACGTCCAAGTTATTTGGCATGGTCAAGAATCTGGTTTCATCTCATTTCCTATCTGTTATTTTAACACCGAAATCTTCCACTTGGAAAGGAAATGCTTGAGCTTGCAGTACTTAGAGAAAATAAAACACTGATTTACAGCATTACTTTAATATTGCACTGGCCTGAATACTCTGCTGAATTGTGTTTCCAACAGAACAGTTACGCCAGGAAGGAAATCATTTTGATTCAGTAATTCTCTGGTCAGTTCTTCAGATCCAATACTACCCTACAACGTCTGTTGACTACTTCAAGTGACAGCCAGAAGCTGTGAACAACAGAACCAAATAGCTCTCCCCACTTTACGAGGGTCACACAGTAGCAGAAGCTTCATCTGCTACACCGGGACCTTGGGCTCTGGGTAGACTTTGCTCCTGGCTGCACAGGTCTAAGCTTCCTCAGTGCTACAGTAATATAGGTAACTAAATAAAACAGCTGAGGTTCTTCTCTTTCGTAATAAGTAAATAGTTAAAGGATCTGCTTAAAAAGAAATGATAAGTTGCTACAGCTTTTATGGACAGAGATTATAGCTCTGGAGATGAATGCCCCAGAACACACAATTCCATACGTAGCAATTTTAACTATTTGATGTGGGCGTTAACCCCTAAAAATTGTGTGGATTCATATTTTTTTTAAATAACAAATTCGGTATTCAGTGACCTACTCATTTCAACCAGATGATTCTATCAAAATTAAGCAAGCGCTTCAGAAAGGTACAGGATCAGGACTGCAGACCGGGGAAGGAAAGTGTGCTGTAAGAAAGTGACAGAGCAAAACACTTGTTCAGAGGGTCTCTTACATTAAGGAACATAGTAGTTACTGTTAAACATTTAAAATATTTCACTATCCGGTTTGCTGTGTTTTGATTTCACCAAGTTAGCAGACACAACTGAGGTGCAACACACAGCCAAAAACAGATCCTGCAGACAGCACTCAGGAAGAGCTGAGGGTCTGAAATTGTCATCATCAGCATGATGGTACCCAAAAAGGCCAACCTTCATGTTCTTCTTTACTTTCTCCTTTAAGATGACTGAAGAGAACAATAAGGTTACGGATTTAAAATAATTATTCTTAAAGCGTGCACCAAATCTTCATCTAAAAGTAGAAAAAGCAACACTGACCCTTTTCCAAACTCAAATTTAAACTAACTTTCAGTACCACTCGGATGTACTTTTCAGCCGTAAGCCTACATCTTGCTGCTGTGCCCAAAATACGTGACCTCTCTTGTGCGCATGGACTTAACACCCTGTATGGATTTGCCAGATATATGCTACAAACATCAACCAAACTGAGCAAGAATTTTTATCTGTCCACTTCTTTCTTTCCGATATGATTATATTAAGTAGTTTAGGGAGCTCTGGCAAGACTGCTTAAAAGTACAAACTTTTCCTCCCAGTCAGACAACTTTAAAAACACAGGCACTTTAAAACTGTCGAGTTGTCCGTAGATATTGCTCCACAGCACCTTGGTGCTTCTTTCTAACACCAGATCACAGTCTTGAAAGGCAGAGAGCAACTCTAATGCAATGCCACTGAACAAGGCACCTCAAAAATCCACCTGCCATCCATGTGCAAGCACAGAAGAACCACTAGCAAAAGCAGGCAGGGGAGTTGTTTTTTCTATTATTAAAAGAGAAAGAAACCAAGGTTTCTTTGCAGGAAAGGAGGCAACCTCCACCAGCGACACCAGCCACCATGCTGCAAGCCATCCTTCTAGCCAGAGCTTCTTCCTTGGCCGCACAGCCCGGGGTTGGGACTCACCGCGAAGACGGCGTTCTGCAGCCCGAAGGGGATCGGGGTCAGCCGTGCCAGAGCCACCACCTTGAGGCCGCTGCCGCCCTCCACGACGCGGACCACGGCGCTGAGCGTCTCGCTGCCCTGGATCCTGGCCCGCGCCCAGCGGGCCAACAGCCGCTTGCCAGCCACGTGGGCAACGAAGGGGCCGAC